CCCAGTCCTCACTTGCTCTTTCTACACCTCACTTCTATCCTCAATAAAGGGGAGACTGGTTGTAAAGAAGTAAAGGTTGTAAATATATAAGACGTAATGTCAGAAATTACCTAGCCTACAGCTAGCTTTCTATCTATCATTCCCTCTACCTGGGATGCATCTTTCTCTTCTCCATGTGGCAAACTGTGCTCATCCTTCAAGACCCAGGCATCTCCTCTATAGTTATTTTCCTGCCCCTACCCCCAGACTAAGTTAGCCACTTTCTTCTTTGGGCTCCCACAATAACTGTGGGCATTTATTGAATCATGATATGAAATTATATTGTTGTAAGATACTTTAAAACAAAGGCAAGAGTAGGGGATGGTGGCTCACGCCTGTAATCCCAGCACTTTAGGAGGCTGAAGCAGGTGGATCACTTAAGGTCAGGAGTTCAAGACCAGCATGGCCAAGATGAGAAAACTCTGTCTCTACTAAAAATACAAAAATTAGTCAGGCATGACGGTGGGCACCTGTAATCACAGCTCCTCGGGAGGCAGAGGCACGAGAATAGCTTGAACCTGGGAGGTGGAGGTTGCAGTGAGCCAAGGTCGTGCCACTGCTCTCCAGCCAGGGCAACAGAGTGAGACTTGATCTCAAAAAAAAAAAAGAAAAAGAAAAAGAAAAAGAAAGAAAGGAAAGGAAAAGAATAGAAAAGCCAAAATCTTTGTTTTTTAATCTGTACCTTGACCTGATATAGAGTACCTTCTCGAAACTATTTGGTGAATGAATATATGAAGGCATTATACTGGGATCTGATATCCAGTTCTGCTATCCAGTTCTTGAAGAGCTCATAATCTTGAAGGGTGTGGGACAAACATAGGGATTCAAATAACCACAGTAGGAGTCTCACTGGAACAAGGGCTCAATTAAGGCAGAATCAAAGTGTGATGGCAGCCAGCCCTTCTTCCTGAGGACATGGTTGGCAGGGAAACTTTCACCAGGCATGGCCATCCGGGTTGAGTGCTGAAGCATGCATGTGGATTTAATTTCCTATTTCCTTAACCTTCCCACATATTTATTGTACCTACCCTTCCTCATAAACCATAGACTCCTATATTTTGATATCAGAAGGCCAGAAAATTCTTAAGCTTCGGCCAACAGTTCCAAGCAGAAATCATAAAGGAACAGATAGAGTTTTTCATAATACAATTTTGAGTGGCAATGATCATCTTGTTTATTAACCTTGAAGCCTATAAATTACCAACACATCAGCATGTCTTTGAAGATGAAAACAAGCTACACCAAGAAGATAATAGTTTGAAAACTATAAAGCTATAAAATCTTTTGTTATCATTATATACCTACTGGAGAGCAAATATGTTTTCTAGGTTCTAAGTAATTAGACTGTCCCAGTGAAATTGAAAAATGATGAGCCATGACATACCAATCTATTTTAATATGATAGATAGAGGAATTTTTATCCTTTTTATACTACAGGAGAATGTTCAATAAAACTTCGAATACAGGATTTTCTAAAGAAAGGATTTTGTAATATCATAAGCAATGCAAGTCTTGAAATGCTCAATGCTGAACCCAATAGAGTAGAACTATCATCAGAAGTTAGCATTTGGTAGCATCTTCTACATGCATTATTTTATTTTGATTGAAAAACTCTAATAAATATTGAAATATCTTCCTTCAGTAGGATGGATTGCAGAATTAAATATATCCCCTGAATTTTATCTCCATTGGAGTCATCATATTGCTCCCCTGAGGACAAACTCTGTAGACTGTCCTAATAAGGATAACAGTGGCTACCATTTATTCAGTGTTTCCAATGTGCTGGGTGATGGTCTATAGGAGATTTTTATTTAGAAAATTTATTAGAAGCTTAAATTTACAAATTTTTGTTTTTTACCTCACTAAAATGTAATTTACTTCGTACCCTGTATACCAGAAGCTGAGTGAGATAGAAAGGAGACGCCCAAATGCTGCTTTGAGGGCTGTCCTGGAGAGATGGGGTTGGTCATTTAGAAAGAACAGAACTTACGTTTGAAATGGCACACCCTGAAATACAAGAAAATTTTATTTTCAAATAGCAGGTGGGATGACAAGGGACCGCCTCCTAGCTCCAGCCGCCTTCAGGGGACTCACAGCAGGCTGGTTTTGTTTTGTTTTGCTTTGTTTTTGAGACGGAGTCTTGCTCTGTCACCCAGACTGGAGGAGAGTGGTGCGACCTCCACCTCCCAGGTTCAAGTGATTCTCCTGCCTCAGCCTCCTGAGTAGCTGGGATTACAGGAGTGTGCCACCACACCTGGCTAATTTTTTGTGGGTTTTTTTAGTCGAGATGGGGTTTCACCACGCTGACCAGGAGGTCTTGATCTCCCACAGCAGGCTTTTTTTAAGAACAGCTCTTTTATCTGGTTCTATTGCTCAACTTTCATGTCTCAAAACCCAAAATGATTGGTATTTAAGATACAATGTGAAGTACAATTTGATTGAGATAAACTGCCCAAAACTGTGCTTGCTACTAATTTTTGTGAATATAATCATTTAATCATTTTTAAACTTTTTTTAAAAAAAAGATTATTATATAAAAAATTAAAAAAGAGAATATAGTGGTCCCTATGACCCAATTCCAATCATTATCAACTCATAAGCCAATATTGTATTGTGTATACCACCTCTCCTATTATTACGTCAGATGTTTACATTGCCCCAAAGTCAAATCTACAAAAATATTATCAGAAAATTTAATTTCTTTCCTTGTCCCTGCATTCTATTCCCTATTTCCTCTATACATAGCCTTTCTTTTAGTTTATTCTTTAATGCTTCCTTTTAAAAAATATATAGGCAAATAAATTTATATTTTAATGCCCCCTTTCTGAGATAAACAATAGGGTTCTAGTGATTTTCAAAACATTTTAAAGTGTTTTGGAGTACAAGTGTTAAGACTGTTAGTTGACTTTCAAGCCAAAAAGCAAGAAATATGATAATTTTATGTCTTTTTAAAAAATAAATACCTTTGAATGGTTTACAACTTGTAAAACCCCTAAGTTGTGATCAAAAGATCTGGGGGAAAGCAGTAAATTTTGATTAAAATACTGAAAGTTGAAAAAAGGCAATAAAGAGTTTGTCTGAAGATTGTAAGATAGATAGCAATGTTAAAGACACTTTAATACAGTTGGAATATCTCCAAAAGGCATTCTTATAGTAAACACATTAAAAGCTAATGAGCAGAGTGATTTTATTCACAAAACTTTGACTTGATATCTTTTCTCACAGATCGAATTGCACAGAACATCATTAAGTCCCATTTGGAGACATGTCAATACACCATGGAAGAGCTGCACCAGCTGGCGTGGCAGACCCACACCTACGAAGAAATTAAAGCTTATCAAAGCAAGGTACTCTGGGCAACCATGAGAAAGTTTTTCTGTGATTACCCTATTGCTGTCTTGCTCAAACTCAGCACTATTGGCACGTTGTGCTGGGCAATTCTTTTCTGTAAGGGCATCCTGCAAATTGTTCGATACTTACCAGCATCCCTGGCTCTACCCACTAGATGTGGCATCGCCCTCACACACACTTGTGACAACCAGAAATGTCTCCAGATACTGCCACCTGTTTCTAAGGAGGCAAAACTACCCTGATTGAAAACCACTGCCCTATTTGAGTGACTACAGAGACTGTGCCTTCATCAAATGACTTTAGGACATCTCTTGATGACTTCTTGGGTCAAGGCAAGGAGCAGGAGCAATGTAATAATCACAGCAGTTGTAACTGTCACAAACTTACACAACAAATATATAGAACAAAGCTTTCTAAATTTTCTTCTTGCCCTATATGTTAAAAAGAGTCCCAAAAAAAGGAACAACTCATCCCGTATTTTTATTATTACACTATGTTATTTCTTTGGGTTTATTGAAGAAGTTTTTAAGAGGAATTTATTGTTGTTTTTCAGCATTTACATTATATTACTTTGGGATAGAGATCCCCAATTACAAAATTTACCAGTAGATGGAACTTTAATAACGTTAATAAAATATATAAGTATGTGTATATCTAAATAAATGTTTACAATATGCTGATTTTTCTCCACCAGAACAATTAAATCTTAGTATTTTTACATAAAGAGGGAAACAAAGGTATTGGGTCGCTATGGCCAATACAAATTAGAATTAACACATTTCAAAAAATAACCCGAGGACTAAAATATATCTGGGGGATTCTACTGAACTTAGGAGAATGATGTGATTTAATATAATGCCTTTTTCCTTGGAATTCTTTTTATGCCAAAAAACAATCTCTGTAGGTCTGGAAAAAAGACACAACATAAAAATGTTACAAATTTAGTGTCCATCAGGTACCCATGAAAATGACGTCATGGAAGCCTGTGAATGAAACCGCTATCCCTCAATGCAAAGCTTTGCTTTTTATATTAATAGTATATAAAGATAGATCTGTTATTTTCTTTACAAACTCAGGCTTCGTTTAGGTGAGAAGGAGGAAAAGGAGGAAAAAATAGTAAAGAAAATAACAAAGCTATCCTTACATACTATAAACAATGTTGCTGTTATTTTAGCCTCGGTACTTTGATCACTTTGGCCTACTGAGGTCCAAACAGGTCAAAATGTTATCTTAGGGAAAAAAAAAAAATAAAAGTAGTGCCGTCTTCTTTTAAAGGAATCCTATAAATTCCCTCCTTGGGCCCCAACTGACAGGTGAACACCAGGAAGGCAAATCTGAGTGTTCTGTGGACTCTCCATAAGTCGTTTGCCCTCTTTACATTGCGTGTCTTCTCTCCTGAAGTCCAGGGAAGCACTGTGGCAACAATGTGCCATCCAGATCACTCACGCCATCCAATACGTGGTGGAGTTTGCAAAGCGGATAACAGGCTTCATGGAGCTCTGTCAAAATGATCAAATTCTACTTCTGAAGTCAGGTAAGCAAGAAGATTCATGAGGGGCCTATTTCAGATAAGGATGTGGTCAGCCCTTAGCACTGTGTTGGTTCTAGAAAATCCTCCTTCCGATATGCAGCTCGTTTCTGCCACCCACATTGTCAGCCAACTCCCCGAGGAAACGCTCAGTAATAAAAATGCCCTGATACTCATTCAGTTCCCCTTTGAAGTCAAACACAATTTTGCTTATTGAAAGTGGAGCTATTAATTGCAGAGGTTGAGATACGCAGCTTGACAGGCAGTGCAAGTAATTAGCGTGTCAAGGTGGCTGAATTGCTGAGCCGGCGCTAAAACGTACTCCTTGCCTTCTGTGAAAGGAAAAAAAAAAATGCAGGCTAGCTGAGTTCTGCCTCTGTGGTCATTTCCAATCATTTTAATGAGGATAGCCTGCAGCCAGTATACACCAGGAGAAACTCCACGGTACTCTAATCTTTCCCTACCCTTCCCTCACACACTCTCTGACACACACAATTTTAATGGAAGTAGCTCAAGAAACTCTGCATATGATTGACTTTGCAGATGTTATTACCAAACAGGAAAAAGAAATTATTTGTCTTTCTTGGGCCCCTTTGAAAATAGAAAATAAGAACCACGATGGTGTTTATGTGAATTTTCATAGACCTAAGCCATGATAATAATAATAACATACTCATATGTAAAATAACACATATATGTTTATGTTTCCCTATGACATCTCAAGTAATCTTGTGAGATCTATATTATTATTTCCATCTTACAGAGGAGGAGGAAAAGATTCAGAGAAGTGAAGATCTATGTTCAATATTACAAAACCAGTACATGGCAAAGTTGGCATTTGAACTTGGGCCAAATATAACTGTTATTCTAAGATATTGCTGCTTCTTTACCCAATGACGCAACTTGATGAAAACCTAGACTTAAGTGCCAACTTGATGTACCAGTCATCTAAACCACTGCAAAATTTAACTAAAACAACAGGAATTATTTATTCTGCTCTCAAAGCTACAATTTGGGCAGGGCTCAGCAGGGATGACCTTATCTCTGCTCCATGTGGTATTCACTGAGTCAGTTCAGCTGAGGGCAGAGGAATCCACTTTCAAATTGGCTCATTCACATGGCTGATGAGTTGTGCTGGTTGACAGCCTGGAACTGGGCTGGGGGCCTCAGTTCCTCTCCATGTGAGACCCTCCATAACTGCTTGGACTTGCTCACAACATAATCACTATGCTCCAAAAGCTAGCACCCCAAGAGAACAAGGCAGAAATGCATAGACTTTTCTAACTTAACTTCAGAAAACAAAATATTGTTATTTCCATTATATACCATCAGTCATGAAGGCCCACCCAGATTTAAGGACAGGAGACATGGATTCTACTACTTGATAGGGGAGTGGTAAGGTCCTAGAAAACATATGGGATGGAAAATATTTTTTCTGACCCTCTTTGAAAAGTGAAATCTGCCACACTTGATATGTGACCTTGAGCTAAACTCTCTAGATAGCAGTTTCTTCATTTGTAAAATAAAGAGATGCACTAGAAACAATGAATTTCAAACTTGGAATTGCATCAACAACATCAAAGGAGACTATTGACAGTTCAGAGACGTGGGCACCGTGAGTCCCATGGAATCCAGATCTCCTGGAGGGGAACCCAGTTCACTGTATCTCTAACTAAGACTCAGATATAGCCAATCCATGGGCTGACATTTGGGAACCACTGAACCATAAAATCTTTAACATCTCTACCTGGCATAAAAATGTTGACTCCAGTCCAGAAAGTAGGCCTTACGTAACTCCTCCATAAAATAGGGCTAATAAACTCATCTGAAATAGTTACTGTAAGAAGCAAAGATAAAAAAGGCCAAACAAAGTTCCTTCCATTGTGTAGATACTCAATAAATGGTACCCATCTACTGTTTGTGTCAGAAAAGTTTTCCTTCAATTAATACTTGCAAATCCTCCCCATGTATAAGCCTCTATGCTAGGTGACATACCAAAGACAAGCAGAGAGAAATCAGCAAACGTATTTACAGCAAAGGAAATAAAACAGAGACACAAAGATAAAGTGGTGGACTAAGACGGGTACCAAAGTTGTAGGCTAATCACCAGTATGATGCTCTCATACAAATCTGTGGCTGCTGAGTCTGGCTGTTGACTTCAACTACACTGTGGGGCAAAAGTCCATTTCTCCAAAATATGGAGAAGCTATGCAGCAGTATTTCCTCAGGATGTTAATAGTGCTCAAAGGGAAAAACAATGGTAGTAAACAAATTCATTCAATAAATATTTACTTAGCAACTACTATGTGCCAGAAACTTTTCTTGGTCCTGGAGATGCAAGAGTGAATACAATAATCATGACTGCCTATCACTGCAGACAAAATTCCTGCCTTCATTTCATCAATTGCGAATTCAAGAATCGAACTAGCTTTAATATTAGTCAAAAAATAGAGAGAAATTTATTTTCAACAAGTAATGTCACTGCCCTCCAGCTTAGCCACCTGTAAAATATATTTTCTCCTTAATTCTTCATGTAAGTATCAAGAAAACTTTATTTCTAACGTATTAAGTTGGTGCAAATATATTAGGTTTTTGCCATTACTTTCAATGGCAAAAACTGCAATTATTTTTGCACCAACCTAATAGTTTTAGGGGAAGGAACTTAAGGGATTTCTGCAGGTGTGTGCCTGTGTGTCTGTATGTGTCTCTCTGTGTGTTTTAAAGTTCTTGAAAGTCTCTTAGCTATATGCAGTAATAACTTCTTATTATTGGATATATATGTATATTTTTACTTTATTTTTATTTATATTTTTTACTCATAGGTTGCTTGGAAGTGGTTTTAGTGAGAATGTGCCGTGCCTTCAACCCATTAAACAACACTGTTCTGTTTGAAGGAAAATATGGAGGAATGCAAATGTTCAAAGCCTTAGGTAAGTTTCCCTTTGATGAGGACACAATTTTATTAGCTACCATCAGTTTCTCCACTTAGATTGAAATTGGCAAATGAAATGCCTTGATTCTTTGATGTGAACCAGTATCTCATTATTCGATAAGGGATGGACCAGGTGAGCTTCTAATTCAGGCGAGCCTCTCCTGATCTTGTAACTGTGGCCTCCAGTACAAAAGAAAGAGAGAACTGAAGACCCTCCTGAAAACAACCCTATTGAGACATGGGCATGGTGGCTCACGCCTGTAATCCCAACTACTCGGGAGGCTGAGGCAAGAGAATCGCTTGAACACAGGAGGCGGAGGTTGCTGTGAGCCGAGATCATGCCACTGCACTCCAGCTTGTGTGACAGAGCAAGACTCCATCTCACATAAATAAAATAAGTAAATAAAATTAGCCAGGCATGTGATACACACCTGTAGTCCCAGCTAGTTGGGAGGCCGAGGCAGGAAGAGTGCTTGATCCTGGGAGATCGAGGCTACAGTGAGTCATCTTCACACCACTGCACTACAGCCTGGGTGACAAAGTGAAACCCTGTAAAAAAAAGAAAGAAAGAAGGAAGGAAAGAAGGAAGGAAGGAAGGAAGGAAGGAAGGAAGGAAGGAAGGAAGGAAGGAAGGA